CACAGGGTTGTTTTCTGTGATGTGAATTCATTGCTGAATTTCCAGCTTCTCTTGGAAAATCTAAAGGTCAAGTAATATGGAGTCCATGTTTCCGCAGGTAGCATTTGGCTGGGGCAGAGTAGCTGCTGCCACACCCTCGACCTGGCCTATTCACTTACGTACCTTTCCTGCCTGGCCCCAGGAGGCTTAGTATTAGACAGGACCTAATCTGGTCCACTTTTTAGTAAGCTTGGCTACCACTGCACTGTGAGTCAATGGCAGGCAATTCACTGAGGACATTGTAATTATTAAATGGCTGCTCATAACATATTTGATAGAAAAATAACCCATTTGATGTCTTTGAAGCCATTCATGCTTTGTCTTCAACAAATAAATATGAAACTAATCAGGTACTGGATTCACATTGGGGTAACTTGAGAATGTATATTGAGCAGAATCATCAGATTCTTAAATCTAACCACCTAGGGAAGACAGTTTAATTCACTTATTGTGATTTCCTTTCCTTATTGATAAGCAGACTGTATTGTAGCCAGCTGATATTTTTGCTTTGGAGATACTCTTATTCTAACCAGAGGGATCACTAAAGATTTAGAAAAGTACTCATGATTTGAGATCAAGTATATCTTTGTCTTAAAAACAGAATCACAGATTTTGTGGGCATCAGCTATTCTGATTTTTGTCTGTTCTCCTTTTAGTGGAAGAAGGAATTGAAAATAATGCTTGCAGTTCAGAATTTTGATTTACCATACTAGATTAGCTAGAATCTTATTTAATAATTTAACTTCCTTCTCCTGTCATGGTGCTCTGTTATATAAAACACTACCTACTTGACGCAATAGTCTCCCAGGGAGACAAATAGAAATACAGCTTGTTGAATATCTTTGATTTCTTTCCTATCATCATAGTTTGCCAAGATTTCTCAGCAGCTGAGGCAGTGGCACTGTGGTTGGGTAGGGTGTTCTGTCGCTGTAAGCAGGCATGTTTGCAACATCCATCTGGAGGAGCCCTGGGGCAGGATGTGGTTGACCTGTGGATGCCCTGAATGAGAGGCCCAGCAGCCTCACAGTCCCCCAGCAATTTCCACCCATCTAGCCCCTCCAGACAGTCTCACTGTCTCCCCTCTAAAGCTCCAAGCACATTTGCTGTAGGTTCCACCTCAGGGCCTGACCTTCCCCTGATTCCCAAGCTCACAGGGTTCTTCTAAGCACCCTCTGAAGCAGGCACCATGAGGCACAGATATGCTCTTTGGAACCTCTGCTTCCTCTAGCCCTATCTCAGACCGTCCCCATGCCCTGGAGGGGATGCCTTCACCAGTGAGCAAAGTGACATCTCTAAGCTCATGCTGGTTTGTGCATGCACTTTGTACATTGTGCAAGCCAGTTAAAATGATGCATGTCAGCTTTTCCATGTCTGCAAAATATGATCACAAAACTGACCTAGCTTGTAAGACTCTAGCTTGTAAATTCTCAGAGCCTCCTGAAAATCAAGGGGATATATCTTAAAATTCAAACAAAAATAAAGGTGCTTCAGAGAGGAGACTGGCAGGAGACCCAATGTGGTGGCTGTTTCTCTGACTTATGCATACCCTGGCAGACCCTATGAGTTTTCCACTTCCCTTTCAAGACAGCATGGGGTGCTGTGCCTTGGAGGTTGAGTACAGAACTTTGGGCACCAGCCTCAGCTTTGACCAAATGCAGGGCAGGAAAGAAGTGACGGAGAGTGGGTCTGTTGAGCTCACTTTGGCGAACTGTATTTTAATTAGTATTTTTAAAAATGGACAAGTTCAAAATTAAGGTTGATCCACATCAGATGTGTAGCCCATGTGCCAGGGCTGTATATAAGCCTGTTATTTTAAGAAGGTATGTTTCTTACCTATAATGAAAATATTCAGGCACCCCATGAAGGTTTTGATCCTCCTGGTCACAAAACTACAAAAAAGATGGAAAAAGTTTATATATATATAAAAGTATATATGTGTGTATATATATGTGTGTGTGTATATATATAAAATTGGTATGGGAGAAAATCTCTGAAAAGAGGTAACAGGAAAGCACACAAAATGTATCTATTCATGTGATTTTAAATTATGTTTGTTTAGTGCTAAATCAACATGTAATCTGAATAAAGAAAAGCCACGTTAAAAACTAGACAAAGGTTCCTCTTTCCCTCAAAGTAGCTTCTCCTCTCCCGCCTGCCAATCCCCACAAGCACACACACTTGGCTCTCCACTTTCCTCTTGTCCTGTGGGTGGTCTTCCAGCTGAATTTGTCCCACACTACCCTGGGGCCCTCGGGCCTGTAAGGTCCTGTGCCTCCTCACAACAGAATTCTATCAGATGGGTGCTAGCGATATGACAGGCCCTCAGTTGATAACTGTTCTTGATCTGTATCCCTGTTCTATGTCTCCAGGGTGTATTTCACCCCAGAGTACAGATAATACAGACTGTATCAGCAAGCTGTATTTCTCAGGAAAAAAATTTAATAATCAAAGATATTTCCAAGAAAAAATCTGCCACCCAAAAATGGAACCTATAAGGAAAAACAGCCAAAGCTTTCCCACCTTCTAAGATTAAATCTGTTGAACTTCTTGAAGTTCACAGATGCCAGGAATGTGATTCATTTTTTTATACCACATGACAGCCAAAGACAAAGACTGGGGATGGCCAGAGTTTTCTGGCCTAGATGCCAGGCAGCAATCACAGCTGAGAGTTCAGTAGTCCCAGGGCTCATTTTTATTGATGTCTTTATTCATATAATAGCTCATGGGTACACTGGGGCAGAGGGGAAGTGCAGTCTGGGCGAGACTAGTTGATGCTTTAGTTAGCTGCAAGACTGATTTACAGTCCAATTAAATTTCAGTGGTCATTTATGTCTCCTCATCAAATACGAGTTCAAAGTCTTGCCGTAAGTAATTTCCATAACCCACATTTCCCCATTCTAATATGCCATTGCTGTGCTTTTCATAGAATACTTCTTTTCCAGATGGTTAGGAATTTCATTCTTTATAGCATTTTAATTTCAGCGAATAAGCAAGAATCCAAATGCCTTCTAAAATACATATTATTATACATCAATTTAAGAAATTGGCTGGGCACAGTGGCTCACACCTATAATCCAGCACTTTGGGAGTCTGAGGTGGGAGGATTTCTTGAGCCTAGGAGTTTGAGGCAAGCCAGGGCAATACAACAAGACCCCATCTCTACAAAAATAAAAATGAAAATTAAGCAGGCATGGTGGTGTGTGGTTGTAGTCCCAGCTACTCAGGAGGCTGAAGTGGGAGGATCGCTTGAGGCCAGGAATTCAAGGCTTCAGTGAGCTTTGATTACACCACTGCATTCCAAACTGGGCAAGAGAGGGAGACCTTGTCTCAAAAAAAAAAAAAAAAAAAGAAAAGAAAAAAGAAAAAGAAAAGAAAACAGAAAAGAAATAAAGAAACTGCAATTTTTTTCCCGGAGTTATTTTAGAAAGATTTTTTCTAAAGTAAAAGAAAAAGAAAAATCACATTATTTGATGTCCTAGAGTGCATTCTTATTTGGAAAACTTACAGATAGGCTTGAAACTAAGGGATGAAATCAAAAAATTTCTATTTGATAATCAAATATCTAAATCTAGAAAATTTGAATATTACCTATTGGCAATGATAATATTCAAAGATAATAGTATTCAAATATTAGATACTGTGTTTACATATGAAATCATATCTTATTTTTTATTCATGTCTATTTTTCCCAGTTAATTTTAGATTCCTAGGAATATTTAAGAAACAAAGAATGATCTTATCTGAAGTTTTAAGTTTCCATTTACTCTAAATATTTAAGATAAATGAGTTCTTTCTCTATTTTTATGAATCCTATACACATCTGTCTGTTTCAATAAAATAAAGAATACTCATGTTTACTTCACAGGAGGAACTATTTGCATGTACTAAAATTGTTGCATATAAAATACAGGAGCACTCACTTAAAGGGAAAAAATACCCACGTGGAGAAAACATAACGGGATAATACACTATGCTTGGGAAAATAAGGCTTTTGCTGGGAATTGAATCCTAGTGTGTAGAAGTATTAGCTAACTCTCATTATAAACAAATTTTACCAGTTATTTCCTAAACAGACTCTTGTTTAATGAACAAATGCTTTGCTTATTAATTACACAAAATTTAGTCAAAGCATTAGAAAAGATGAAACAGTTTCGTTAGAGTGTGTTAAAAACTTGACTTTTAACCTTGACATTTAATGGACTGGACCACATGGGCCAAATTCCCTCTCCTTTGCAAAGGTATGGAGCTGGAAATGAACTTACGAGATCAGACTCAAGGGACCACAGCTTGCATTTAATAGTTTACCTTTAGCTGTGCTTTAGCTGTGCTTTTGGATGTATTAAGAACTTTTTAACTGCTTTATTAGACTGTTATCCCATTTACTCTTTGATATGTGACATTTAAATATGCCTTGAATTTGAAACTGGTTGTTGTTATGTGTTGGGAACAAAATTATTTTTGATAGGAATACATTTTTGAATTACAAATGCAAGTTAATAGATAAATAATATCTGATTTATTATATTTTGAAATATTTCTATTTAAGCCTTACAAGTGACTTTTCAGTACAAATAAGATTCTCTGATTAGATTTTCTGATCACCATAGCAAATATTAATTGGACAATAATGGGAATGTATAATAAAGAGCTGTAAAGCAAAAATTTTTTAAAGAAATTGTGGTCTAAACATGCATGCCTCTCTATTTGCTGCCACAGTTTTCCAGAAAGTACTGTGCATTTGAATCATCATTCTTTATAGTGGCCACATAGCAGAAGTGGTTAAGTGTAAAGTTTTTCAGCATGAAGGGCGGGTATTGTGCAAAATTATAATTGCATCAAAATAATGAGAGATTGAAGAAAACTCTGATTTTCAAATGTCTATTTTTGAAGAGTAAAACTTAAACTCATTATTTTTCCTCCCAGAAGGATGCCTAAATCATGCTTGTCTTTCTCTTTAACAGATAATTCTGAAATAATCAGCAGAAACGGAATGGAATGCCAAGAATCTGCATTGAGAATAACTAAACATTGTTACTGTACATACTATCCTGTTTCCTCCTCAATAGAATTGCCACAAACTGCATGCTAAATAAAGATGTAGTTCTTCTGGACAGACCACAACTCTAAGAAGCTAGTGCTGCTATCTCATATATGAGTATTAAATATGGTATGCTTAGTATATTCCAACCTAAGATAGTTAACTACCTGAGACCAGCTGTGATGTTTAAAGACATAAAGGATAAAGTTTACTTTTAAAGGGTTTCTAAACATAGTTTCTGTCCTAGGAATATTGTCTTATCTCCATAACTATAGCTGATGCAGAAAGTCCAGCCACTTTACTCATTTCGATTCAGAATATTTCAAATTTAGCAATAAACAATTAGCATTAGTTAAAAAAGAAACATATTCCAAGGGCAGGTTCGATTGTAGCTGTAATTACTGTCATGCCATTTACCCACTGGATCAAAGGGTATGTTTCACTTCTTGACAATATAAATGCTGCAGCAAAGACGAGAGGTGAAGTAAAACCAATACCTGTCCTGCAGGTCTAAAATTTGAATGGAAATTCAAGCACAAGTACTGGGGACACATCAAAGTGTGGTGTTTGGTTTGCCTGGAGATGCCGCATTGAATCATGTGATTCTAGATTAACATTAAATAGATTGAAAAAGAAACTTTGCACGGTATGAGCTTCATACCCCACCAAACAAAGTCTTGAAGGTATTATTTTACAAGTATATTTTTAAAGTTGTTTTATAAGAGAGACTTTGTAGAAGTGCCTAGATTTTGCCAGACTTCATCCAGCTTGACAAGAATGAGAGGCCCATGCCAACAGTCTAATCTAAGAGATTAGTCTTTCAAACTCACCATCCGGTTGCCTGTTACAGAATAACTCTTCTTAACTAAAAACCTAGTCAAACAAGGAAGCTGTAGGTGAGGAGATCTGTATAATATTCTAATTTAAGTAAGTTTGAGTTTAGTCACTGCAAATTTGACTGTGACTTTAATCTAAATTACTATGTAAACAAAAAGTAGATAGTTTCACTTTTTAAAAAAAATCCATTACTGTTTTGCATTTCAAAAGTTGGATTAAAGGGTTGTAACTGACTACAGCATGGAAAAAATAGTTCTTTTGATTCTTTCACCTTAAAGCATATTTTATGTCTCAAAAGTATAAAAAACTTTAATACAAGTACATACATATTATATATACACATACATATATATACTATATATGGATGAAACATATTTTAATGTTGTTTACTTTTTTAAATACTTGGTTGATCTTCAAGGTAATAGCGATACAATTAAATTTTGTTCAGAAAGTTTGTTTTAAAGTTTATTTTAAGCACTATCGTACCAAATATTTCATATTTCACATTTTATATGTTGCACATAGCCTATACAGTACCTACATAGTTTTTAAATTATTGTTTAAAAAAACAAAACAGCTGTTATAAATGAATATTATGTGTAATTGTTTCAAACATCCATTTTCTTTGTGAACATATTAGTGATTGAAGTATTTTGACTTTTGAGATTGAATGTAAAATATTTTAAATTTGGGATCATCACCTGTTCTGAAAACTAGATGCACCAACCATATCATTATTTGTTTGAGGAAAAAAAAGAAATCTGCATTTTAATTCATGTTGGTCAAAGTCGAATTACTATCTATTTATCTTGTATCGTAGATCTGATAACCCTATCTAAAAGAAAGTCACATGCTAAGTGTAATCTTACATAGTGCTTGTATCGTTGCATTTGTTTTAATTTGTGGAAAAGTATTGTATCTAACTTGTATTACTTTGGTAGTTTCATCTTTATGTATTATTGATATTTGTAATTTTCTCAACTATAACAATGTAGTTACGCTACAACTTGCCTAAAACGTTCAAACTTGTTTTCTTTTTTCTGTTTTCTTTCTTTGTTAATTCATTTAAACTCAATGAAAACATAGTATACATTACTAAAAGGTAAATTATGGGAATCACTGAAATATTTTTGTAGATTAATTGTAACATTGTCTTTCTTTTTTTCTTTTGTTTCATGATTTTGATTTTTAAAATTAGCACACAACTATTTTCAGCCCTTTAATAATGGAGCATCAAAAACATCACCTGTATCCCCAAGCAAATATAGAAGACTGTATTTTTTACTATGATATCCATTTTCCAGAATTGTGATTACAATATGCAAAGAGTCATAAATATGCCATTTACAATAAGGAGGAGGCAAGGCAAATGCATAGATGTACAAATATATGTACAACAGATTTTGCTTTTTATTTATTTATAATGTAATTTTATAGAATAATTCTGGGATTTGAGAGGATCTAAAACTATTTTTCTGTATAAATATTATTTGCCAAAAGTTTGTTTATATTCAGAAGTCTGACTATGATGAATAAATCTTAAATGCTTTGTTTAATTAAAAAACAAAAATCACCAATATCCAAGACATGAAGATATCAATTCAACAAATACTGTAGTTAAGAGACTAACTCTCCACTTGTATGGGAACTACATTTCACTCTTGGTTTTCAGGATATAACAGCACTTCACCGAAATATTCTTTCAGCCATACCACTGGTAACATTTCTACTAAATCTTTCTGTAACACTTAAAGAATTCCTTCATTCATTACCTTACAGTGTAAACAGAAGTCTAATTTGTATCAATACTATGTTTTGGTTGTAATATTCAGTTCACTCACCCAATGTACAACCAATGAAATAAAAGAAGCATTTAAAAGGATTGTTGTATAGTCTTCCTTCTTTTTCTGTTGAGACAGATTGATAATTCGCCAAACAAAATGGTTTTCACCTTCACACATATAGTATTTGTTAACTTCAAAGAAGACCAAACTCTGGTCTTCGAACGGGAGATTGGTAGTTTTTGCTTTTGGCTTTGGCTTGTTCACAGCAAGAAAAACAATTAAAAATGGTAATTTGAGAAGTTTGTTTAGTATTCTTTAAAATTAGAAGTAAAAATAAATCCCACCACTCAGCCGTCTTCTTCACATCTCAGACTGATAATGAAAAGATATGGGATCAATGGCATCAGTAACTACATGGGCAACAAAATGTCAGTTTCATGAATAGATTTTAAAAAGGGCCCATTAAGCTGTAATACAGGCTTCTGTAAGAGCTTGATGGCATAACATGACTCAGACCTGAGGTTGCAGAAAGAGACAGAATGGTGAGTTCTGTTCTATGCAGAGGTCCTGGCCAGGTGGCTCAAGAATAGAACAGGAATTCAACAAAGAGGGTGATGAGGGTCCCTGCTATTCTGTCAGTAACCAGCCTCCTCCTAAGAGGTGGCGTGTGGGCAGAAGGAGTGGCAGAAACTCCTTCTTCAGCCTTTTGAGACCCACCATTTTTGTCAAGGAAGGTGCTATTGGCCTTTTGGGTGGCAACATTCCTTGTCATACTGAGACTGGCAGAAATTGCCTCCTCTGTGGGCCAAGGCAGAAACATGAGTTTTTCTCCATGGCAGATTTAAAGCTTTAGGCCTCCTGAGTGGTTATGATACAGCATAGAAAACACATACATTCAGCAGATACAAATAAAGCTGCTTGTATTTTTTAACTATCCCATCAGGATTTCCAAGGGTAAAAATACTTTTAACACCTCTGTGGATATTTGAAAATATGGCTGTATATTTGGATGAGTGATTTTTGTACTGTAATGCCAAAGAAAATCTATCTCATCAATCACTCCCTACAAAAATCATTCTGTTAACAGTAAGTTCAAGATGTCAACTTCAGAGAGCAAGTTATTATTTTAAGTGAAAAATCTAAAACTGTACACCTGGTTTCATGAAGTATAAGTTCTATCAGTAGATTGCCTATTCATGGTACTACATCAAAATCAAAAACAAAACTTAAACCTCTCAGGATAAAAAAAAAACTATCTCTTCAGCATAGAAAATATTTGGGTATAAAATACCAATTATCTCATAATTATCTGACAAAAGAAAAGTGTCATTTCAGTTTTGGGCTCTCCAAATTTAAAACGATGTTTCAAATGAGAAATGCATTCTTTATTATTAAAGTTCTATTGCAATGCCACAGATTTTAGGGGCAGCTAGGAAAATCAAAATAAAGTTCAATGTTCTGATATTTATAAAAAGATGGTACTGGTTCCCCGCAGAATGATTTCTGCAGGGGCAACCCCCACCCCTTCTCCCCACCTCCAAAATATCCTAGGGTGTCTCTGACATATTAGGCAATTGTTGCTGGACTAATTTATCTCCATAGAAATGACTGAGTCACTGTGAATAAGCATGATTCACACAGAATGAAACATAGTAATGATTCCCTCTGTGCTCTTAGTTGGGAAGATAGATGGCAAGGATGGGAAAGGGTAGAATTGAGAATGTTCACCAGGGAGCTACTTACGTGCCAAGTTCTATGCTAAATATTCTATATATGTTTCTAACAAGCCCACCCTGTGTTGGAGAGAACTACTAACAACCGATAAGTGAATTCTGACTGCTACAGAGATTCCTCTTCAAGGTACATAGAGATTCTGCTGTGAGAAGCATCTTACTTCTAGATCAACACTTCTAGTGTCTGCCCTTAGGGTGACTAGCTGCCCAGCTCAGCTGAAAACCTCTGCCCAGTACCTGTCAAAGGTTTGACCAACTGGATGTGACTTCAGTTTCCTCCACTGTCAGCTACTTTGAAAAATGTCCACCCATTTGAGGTGTCCCTGTGGCACCCACCATGTAAACTGTATAAATGCTACTAGGCCTAAATTATAATGAAACCATTTCAGATAGCCCATCAAATCTGGTGAAAACCCATATAGTTGTTTACATGAAATAAGGCATAAACAGAGAGTCACTGGTTTTGTTTACACATATTTTACATAATCCTTAGGGTTACAAAGAATCTATTATACCCATAATGTAGATGAAAAAAATCAAGACTCATAAAAATAAACTCTCAAGATCACACAGAGCAAGCCCTGGCTTGTCCCAACTCTACAGCCAAGTTAAAATGAGCTTGATTTGTGGCAGCTTTCAGGTCAAAATTTCATTAAAAAATTCAGAGTGAAGCATTTATTCAGGTTTAAGGTGAAGTTATAAGAATCTTTTACTTGGTTACTTAAGATAAAGATATTCTTCCCTATCCCAAGAATATGATTTATGAAATATCTTGAAACTATGGGCTACAAAGTACTCTGCTAGATTTAGGACATGGCCCAGTTCTTTATTAGGACCAGAGGCAATAGAAGAAATGGTATATTGTAACCATTACTCTAGTGTTACCCAGAGTCTTTTGTTTGTTTGCTTGTTTGTTTATCAAGCTTCTATATGGTTCTCCTGAAATAAAATATATAATGACGGTCATTGAATTTTTCCTAATAATAATGTGGCATTAAGTCATGATGCAGCTAGCATGTGAAAAGATAAAACGTGAAAAGATATAACTTGAAAGTCTGGGGAAAATAGCCAGAGAGAATAAATTTCTGCATAAAGGCCACATATGAATGTGAACCCCTAAAATCCAATTGCCTCTAGAGAGGCTGAAAAATTAAATGCTACTATTGTTGAGCCCTTTCTCTCATAACTTTTCTGTGGGTTTTTCCAATACTTTGTTTATATAAATGAAGGCAGAGATTTATATTTGCCCTTGTGTGTAAACTAAAATGATCTAAATCAGAATAGTCAAACTTTTCTTTTGCTAGAGAACATTTCCTTCCAACAAAAGGTCATCCTACAAAAGTCCACAAACCAAATCGCAGCAAAGTGCTCCTGTTGCAGGGAGGTCTCTTTCCTGAGATCCCTGAATAAGCTCTGCAGTCTAGAGATGGAAACCCATGCATTTAAATGTAAAATGTGTGGCTTTACAGAGGGAGAGAAATGTATTCAAAGCAGCGTGACAGCTTAGAAAAGCTGCCTCTTAAGTTCTAAATATGTCTGAGCAAATTGATCAGATATATACAGAAGTAACAAACATACTACAGAATAAATATATTTTCAACACTCTCACACACATATTTTTATATAGAGAGCAGTCTAAACGCATTAGCATTCATAAACACAAAGTCAAATGTTTTTCAGAGCTACAGAATGGAAAGATCAGTGTCTGCATTCCACAGTAGTTTAAGAGCTGGTTAAGTACTAAGTTGCTGGTCACGCCGCCCAAGTTTAACTCTCAACTGTACTTTTTAACACCTCGTAAGCATCAAGGTGTTTTCACCAATAAGCTGAGTCTCACAATCGAATGTACCTTGCTGGGACATAATGAGTTTTAAGTGAGATAATATATGCTAATCAGATAGAGCGAGACCTGACACTTAGCAAGATTTCAGTGAATATCAATTATTATTCTTAAAATAATATTAAAATGAGCTCTTGTGTTTCCCTGTAAGTATTTATATCCTTTTTCTGTCCAAACATCTCTTGACAACTAAGAGGCACCTCTTCTATTTCCCCAATGACAATTAATGCCAAAAACTGATGGGCAAATTATAGAAAATTCCTAATAACAAATAATGAGCCAGATTATTTTTGTGGAAACCTATAATTACTTCAATTCAACAACTGTTCACTGAGCACCGTCTAAGCCCTGCTGAGTCATTAAAGGGATGTGAACATGGCCAAAGGCCAATGCTCTGCCCTCAAGAAGCTTATCATGCGGCACAACAGAAACTGTTAAAAATAGAGAAAGGAGGAAGAGGATTGTATCGGTTTCCTAGGGCTCCCACAACAGACCACAAAAAGGGCGACTTAATAGAAATTTTAGGCTGGGTGCGGTGGCTCACACCAGTAATCCCAGCCTTTTGGGGGACCGAGGTGGGCGGATCACCTGAGGTCAGGAGTTCGAGACCAGCTTGGTGAAACCCTGTCTCTACTAAAAATACAAAAATTAGCTGGGCATGGTGGTATGCAGCTGTAATCCCAACTACTCTGGAGGCTGAGGAAGGAGAATCACTTGAACCCAGGAGGTGGAGGTTGCAGTGAGCTGAGACTGAGCCACTGCACTCCAGCCTAGCAGCAACAACAACAACAACAAAAACAATATAAATGTATTCTCTTACAACTCTGGAGGCTGGAAGTTGGAAATCAATGTGTCAGCAGGGCCATGTTCCTCCTGAGATTCCAGTAGAATCCTTTCTTGACTCTTCTAGTTTCTGCTGGTGGCTGTCAGTCCTTGGCATTTTACGGTTTGCAGCTGCATGGCTCCACTCTGTCTCTGTCATTACATGGCCTTCCCCTTGTCTGTCTCTACCTTCACATCATCTTATAAACACACTGGTCATATTAGATTAGAGCCCACCCTAATGTCTTCATCTTAGCTCAATTACATCTGCAAAGACCCTATTTCCAAAAAAAGCCACATTCCCAGGTATGGGGTTAGGACTTAAACGTGTGTTTTTGGAAGGACACAATTTAACCCATAGCAATAATAAGGGGGGTTGAATAAAGATTGCTTTCTATAGATTGCAAAGTAGTAATAAAATACTTTGATCACGGTTTCTGTTGCTTTTTAGTTAGGAGACATGACCCACAGGGAGTATCATGACCAAAGCCATAATCCCTCAGGGAGAGCCTTGTGTTCGTTTGCTTGTTTCTGTTTTGTCTGCAGAACAAAGCATTTGGAATGCAAGATCTTCTAACTTCCATTCTGGACACAACAATCTGTGATTTATGAACACCTAGCACATTTCTGACTGAACTCAACATTTATTGTACTTGGTAATTTTGATTTGCAAATATATTTCATTGTTTGTAAGTTTGCATTG